GACGTGGAAAAATTTGCCTGCAACGAAGTGCAACTATTGGATCGCGAAGTACATGGCCCACCACAGCCGCCGCCACCATAGCCCGCAAACATGCTCTCATCATTGATTGTGTAGCGTATTGGAAACTCTGGCTCATGATCGCTGCAGACCAGCTCTTTGCATGCAACGCCGGTGCGACCAGCATCACCAGAGCTAATACCAACACTGCCGCACCTATGGCGGTTGACGCCCTCGTGCAAGTAACACCGCTTCAAAACAGCGTTACTTTCTGGCTCGCTGTGCTCACACTTCTCTACTTTTGTGTACTTGGCGCTGGTGTTGCTGTAATTAACGCACAGTTTCTGTTTGAGCAAATATTCACCTTGAAAATCGCCGCGCGCCTTCAACATGTCGCGATAGTTCATTTCGTAATGTTTGTTACAATCGACTGGCTTCTCGTCGAACTCGTGCGCATATTGCTGATAGACCTCCTTCTTCTCGATGGTGAAACACTCATTCTTGCTGCGCTGTAGTTTGCCAATAATGGCACGAAAGAAGCGATTCTCTCGTTTGGCTAAATTACGTTCGAAACTCATTTTGGTTACCATTTTTTCGTAGTCTTGAATGCGTTCAAGTAGACGTGCGGTATTTGCTGTCTTAATAGAAATTGTGGACTGGTATGTTGAGGTGCAGGTAATAGAAGAGAAGGGATCAGAATAAGAGAGGTTTGGAAGAGGATATGAAAAATTAAATGACCATTGAACGCGGAACAGCGAGAATAAATTCAAAATTTCAAAAAACATACATTTTAGCGAAACCGAAAAAATTCTACATCGCAAAACTACTTTTGAAGCTTTACTGTAAACCTTTGTACTGAAAAAATATTTGCCGATTTTGTGACACTTTTTCGTTTGTATATATGTGTAAAATAATTTTTTGCACTAACTACACTGTTTACATATACGAATTGTAAAGAATTTTATGCAGAGTATCACTTCTGAGCNCAAATTCTACATCGCAAAACTACTTTTGAAGCTTTACTGTAAACCTTTGTACTGAAAAAATATTTGCCGATTTCGTGACACTTTTTCGTTTGTATATATGTGTTAAATAATACACTATTTACATATACGAATTGTAAAGAATTTTATGCAGAGTATCACTTCTGAGCCTAGGAAGGAATGAAGAGTTGCTTTAGAATAAACTTATTAATTTTGTAATTTTTTTATATCTTAATTTAACGATGTTTCCGGGTAATAAAAGTGAAACACCTATAGTTTAATACCAGTTCTCAGTGTTGTGCTTGCCTAAACAAAATGCAAGTGGGCAACTCTGTATCTATCTGTGATACGCTGTTGTAGCGGCACCACTAGACCCCAAATTCGGCTGCCTATCAACCGTTATCACCAAGCCCAACTAGCGGTAGGCCCAAGAAAAGTGCAGTTTCGACAGAGTCGGACCAAAAGGAATGGAATGTTGTTGTTGTTGTTGTTGTTGGAGCAGCATACAAATCCCCAAGACTGACAGTCCNGAAAAAGTGCAGTTTCGACAGAGTCGGACCAAAAGGAAAGGTATGTTGTTGTTGTTGTTGGAGCAGCATACAAATCCCCAAGACTGACAGTCCTTGGCCAGATGCAAATCTGGGTCGTTCCGGTTACGTAGACCCGACTGGCGAGGCAACGAGGAAAGCGATGTTACCAGAGCCGGTTTAAAAAGGTTACCTTCACATACGGGGCATGTCGGGATCGAGTCTGAAAAATAGAAGTTTAACCTACTATAGCAGCTAGATCGTTTTTTTTCCGGCAGAGTCCCTCACGGCATCTGAAAATCTTCATCTGCGTGGGGTGGTTGAACTCCGACAACGGCATTCAAGGTGCGAGGGTGAGTAAAAGTGGTGATTATCTCTCGGTGAATTTCATTTACTGACTGCCTGTACAACATCATGTGCAGTGGTTGTGCCATGTACATATGCCTGGAGCCCGCACGATAGTTCGTAGAGATACCTTCTTCTATGTGTACCTAGTCTAGCGCTACTTCCAGCAAGTGATTGTTCGGATATTCCCTGTGGAAACAGCCGACCAAGACTTACTTGCTCTTTGCACCATTATGAGTGGCATTGTAGCTGCGGTTTTATGTTTTTTCTGGCGGTCTGTTGTTTGACAATTGTTGTTGCGTGTGCGAAAAAGGAAAGCAAGATGTTAAAGATAACCTCTAAAATTTCTAGATGGTGAAAAGCGTCGTCGTTGATTTTGTGGAGGTATAGACCAAGCCTCCATGTCGCGAAGAAGCGAGAAATATTAGAGATATACAATTACCGGACGTCAATATCGAGCCGTCGTCAGCGTATGAGATCAGTGAAACTGCCTCCAGCTGCTGAGAAGTTTGGAAATAGTTAAAAAAAGTTAAACAGTAGTGGAGAGTGGACATCAACTTGTGGGACCACCTTTTTAATTCACCATGCCTTCGAAGTTTGATCAGAATGCGTACTAACTGTCGACAACTCACGAGAATTTTAGTAGCGTAGAATGACAAAAGGCGAGGTAGCCTTTCGACAAATCAGATGTCACTAAGACGGTTTTCTCACTGGGGCGATAAGTGTTGTTGTGCTCTTTAATTATTAAGTTAAAATTATTATTACTGAGGCCATCCAAAAATCGATCGATCGTAGTCGGCGTAAAACTGTAGGTCCCTCTCAGCAGCATAAAATGTTTCCTATGAGAATCCTGAGGAACGCTGCTGGGAGAACAGTCTTAACTGCATATAATTCCGACCCGTTTTGAAATCCAAAATAGCTGTGTTGTATACTATCTACCAACCGCAACTTAGTCTACTTCAACTACGAATTTCTAGCTAATCATTAAAAGGCTCGCAACTGCGACAAAAAAAAACTTACTTGCATTTTGCTTAATGCATCCTGTTGTTCACGCATTCTCTTTTCACATACTTTCACATTCGAAAATTCTTTGCGGAAATTATCTTGTGTGGCTTTTAGAGCTTCAATTAAATTGTGATTATCTTCCTTCAAATCGGCATTGGTCAGACGAAGACTTTTCAAATTAAGCTTTAACGCGAATTGCGCGAATAAATGTAATAAATGGAAAGATAACGAAAAAAATAAGATGGGTGGGAGAGTAGGGTTGAAGGAAATTATAAAATAATTGTTTAGTGGACAAACATTTACTTGGAAACACGCGCAAGTATGCGATAAAAAGCTTGCAACGTTTCGTGTTTAAATACGAATTTTCATATAATACTAAATACTATTTCTATGCTTACTTCTGTGAACATCTCGAATGCAACGTAAAATATTATCGCAACTATGCCTAAATGAATGCTTAAATGTAGCAATGCTATTTGTATAAGAACTCACCTCTACATTTGCCATATCTTTTTCTTTGTTCTCCATCATTTCCAGCAGCTCAGCATTTTGAAAGGCCAACTCTTTTACTTTTTCCTCATACTCCTTGATTGTCTCATCACGTTTTGCTATGATTTCTTCTAATTTCGTGACTTGTGATTGTAACGAATGCATTTTCTCCTCGGACTGTGTCACCATGCCCTCGAGTTCGCGTATCTACGGGTTCATTTAAGTGGCATAATACATAGAGCAAAGAAAGCGAGGGATTGCCAACAAATTAGAGATGGAGTGAGAAAAGAAAAGATAATAATTTGAGATTTTAGTGATTTTTATATTTTATTAAAGTATGCGCAGTAATAAATTAAGTAATATTATACAAACTTTTTGTAAAGCATTCACATTTTCCGAGATATCTGAACGGCCAAGCAAATCATTCATAAAACCGCTGTGATGAGTTTTATCCAAATCGCGTTCCATCTGTGAAGATAGGGAGGGAAATGAAAGCGATTTTTTTTACTTAGGAGAATTATTATATCATTCGGATTTAATTAGAAGCTATGTAAGTAGTTGAAAAG